GACAACATAGCTCCTAGGATCACTCGGGTACTCAAACCCCACCACCACAATAAGGTGGCGGTTCAAGGAGGGGGACTTGTTGTCCCTCTTACAAATATCATATGTGGCAGAAGGTGTTCATTTAAGGTTGCATCCTGAAGTTTCCCCCTCAGGACCTGATGTGTGCACAGCAGTGTGAGCAGACCAGACCAGGTCTGGGCCACCTGCGTATGTGGTCCTAGACCCAATTCTGTTCCGAGCTGATTAATGAGAAGTTGAATTTCAGCATCATCATAACTGGATTCTCCTTCACCTTCCTGCAGAGCTCTGCGACCTGGTGACCCTGGGTTCTGTGCCAGGGCTCGGGTCCCAATGCCCTCCAACAAAGACTATGTGGTACGACCCAAGTGGAACGTAGAGGTGGACACCAACAGGGTGAGTGCATGTTAAGAATTCATTCATTAATTAACAGTAATTTTGGGGAAATATTACTAAATTATTGAATTGAAAAACCTGTAGTACCATAGTAACTTAAGTTAATCTTTAATAAATGAGTTTCCAGTGGTCATGGTACTGTAAGCATGATTGTAAAAAAGAAACGCATATCAGTGTAGAGATGCTGACAAATAATTTTTAAAATGTTTTTACCAGGTTGTAATTTTAGGTTGAATTTATTTGGGAAAAACCAGGTATGATCATCTTAATGATGGCAGCTGCCTCTTGTTAGTGGAGGGTCGAGGTCATTAGCTGAGCTCCGATTGGTCCTCTGTAGGGCGGCTTTAAGAAAGGCATCAGCCTGCTGGAGAAACACAAGCGTCGCTTTGCAGAGCAGAGGAAAATGTTCCGCCCACAGGGAGCCGTCAAGATCAGCATAGAGGGAAACAAAATGCCTCTGTAGTTCCTGCTGGTGACCTGTGGGGGGCAGTAAGTCCTTCTGCATGGTGTGCAGTGCTGGTCCAGTAGTGTGTGTGGTGTCGACACAGAGTTTCCCCTAGACGAGACATACCACTCTGTTAATGAACAGATAAAACACGGAGTGAAGTGTCTGGGGAACCATATTTGGAAGGTAACTGACTTACCTGTGACCACACAGCTCCCCGCCGACCTGAGCAGAACTGGTCTTTGGAGAAGAAGAGTCATGAATGTAGGATGAATTTGATGGAGGCTTTTTGTCCAGTTCACATTACTCCTCCTGTGACGGCCATATTAGAGGTTCTGTTTACTGCCCCATGTTTGAGTGGTATCATCTTTTAGCATGTGAACCAGCTCAGCTAACTGGCTGTTGACAGTGTTGATACTGGAGATTAATTAGGTAGCAACAATTAAGATAGCATTTGGATAAAACCACAATCAATTGATTAAGCAAAATTGCTAAACAACAGATGGTCCCAGCTGGAGTTTATCAATGAATGAAAAGTGTTTTGAGTAGAGTGGTGAGTATGACGTGGCTGTTGTTGGTGCTAGAAACACATTATATTCAGTTTACCATGTGAAACACCTGAGTACAGGTATTTCCACCTCCATTATTCGTTATACGCCTCCTTTTTTGGCTTGTGCCTCTTCGCTATTAAGACGCATTGCTTGAATTCCAGATTTCATTTGAGGATTTACTCTAAGTTATACCTTATTACAAAGAGTAACAGGTGATCCCTGAGGAGGTTAACTACTACTGCATGGCTCTGGACAAGTCAAGTGCTCACATCTCAAAGGTTGTGCAACGTGTGTGTGTTTAGAAATATACATGGATTGTTTAACCTGTAAATGTCCGTCTTTTTTTTTTTTTTTTTTTTAAGTACAGCTAAAGCATATCCTGAGCTTGTTAGCAACCATGTTTAAATTTTACATTTTTGTCTGTTTCTTCCTTCAGGGCCCGTCGAAGAAGGGGTTATCCCGTGTCGATAAACAGATGCGTAGATTTGCTGACATCCGCCGCCTTACGAAGACGGGTCACGCAGTTAAAATCAGTGTGGAAGGAAACCGGATGCCGCTCTGATTATAACAATAGAATTTATTTACATTTTGCTTTTTAAATGTTTTGTTCTGTGATTAGCCTCCTTCTGTTCTCCCACCTCAGGTCCAGCTCTGCCCTACAGAAGGGCTGACGTCAAATCATTTGACGGAAGTTAGAATGTGAATATCTGCTCAGATGTGTCTGAAATTTATAGGAATTCCACCCAGTGTCTGGGCAAAAAATGTAAAATCTGCTCCAAAATGACCCAAGGAATAAAAAGGTAACTGCTATTAATTTAACAGCTATATTAGCCGTAGCTTCAAACCAACTTGATCCACAATGCTAACTCATGTTAGCATTACACCATCTTAAATTATTGTTAGCAGTCAGCTTTATCTCCAAGTCTATAATGTCCGTTATGTTAACGGTACATTATTGTTACAGTACCTACAAGTTAGCTAATGTAACAGGTCAATTTACTTGGAGGCAATGCTAATGCTAGTGTTGATTATTGGTAATGTTCACAATGAGCTACACTAGGTTTATCTATTAACCAACCAGCTCTTCTTTCATATCTTAACTTTAAGTTGACTTCATGTCAAACTTGAAAAGTCTTTAACATTAGCTTATGTTAGCAGTCAGCTACATAAGACTAATATCAACACAAACTAGGTTCCCTACGTTGGCTACGTTTAGCAGACGGGTATTAGATTTAGCTCTAAAACCACTAGGTCCTTAATGTCAACAAATGATAGCACTCTGTTAGCTTTTCCCACCAGCCAACTAAGCATGCTAATGTTACAGAAGGTTTTAGCTCAAAACGAACTTAGTAGTCAACTAATTTAACCTTAGCTTTAGTAGTCAGCTTTAGTTGTTAACCGCAATTAGCATTGTGTTTAATTGTACCTTGCCTAAAGCTAATGTAACATTAGCTTTATTTCTCAAGCATCATGGTAGAACACTGTGTGCTCTTAGCTAGATTTTTCTACAAAAGATTACAGTTAAACCTGGGACAATTTCAATTAACTGCTGCCTGTAATTTACAAATTAAAATTATTTTTTAAACAAGGTGAAACAACTCTTCCAATATACCAACCATAGTTCATCCTGTTGTCATTGTAAAAGTAAAGTTTTCTATGCTGCATATCTTAAAATGAAAAGAATAAGGCAGAACTTTTTAACACATCAGCAAAATTAAATGTCACTGTACTGGCAGATTTGTCACAAATTTTAAAAAATAAAACTGATGTGTTAGAGTCCTCCCAACATCAGCCTTTTAATTATCTGAAAGTCATTCCTGTAGGCCTTGCTTGTAGCTGACATGAACCTTAGCTTATTAAAGCTAGTGTGATTAAGAAAAAAACAACTCCTTACTGACTTTAAGTCTACATGGGAGTGAGGATTTGCATAATGAAGCATTTAAACCAGGTGATTTTACTACAGTAGCCTTCTACTATCAGTAAGCAGCAAAGGTGATAGAAAACTGCCATTGTTCTAATGTATGATGACAAATTGGCTTGACTCGGTTTAAAAATGAATCAGACATAAATGTTGGAAAGGTCATTTTGGCGAGATTTAGAATTTTTTTTTGTCCAATGTACCATCAAGTTTAGAAAGTTTCCAAAGTTTGCCATTTTGTTCACTTTGAGTCTGAATGTGAAGGTGTTTATATTTTGCTAACAGGCTAGTCAGATCTCCTCTTCAGTCCATTTTGTCCCCTCTGCTCCTGCAGTGGCTGTACAGAAGTATGTAAACTGTCTGCAGTACTGAATTCACACGGGTAACACTGTGACTCGGATCCGAATCACACCTCCTCCTGCAAGTCTAAACCTTTAAACAGTCACCAGGAGCCTGCAGTGAAGATGTCGGATCCAGAGTCAGTTTGTTGGCACTGGTCTGGTTCAGGTGATACTTTTCGTAATAAAGACTCAACAGAAACCCAACTCACCTCTGCTCTCACAACTCTTTTGTTATGTTCTGTAGGTAACTGCAGTAAATTATCACAGCCAAAATCTCTGCCTCCTGTCAGACCCAGAATCCAATTGGACACATTGTGGAGGTCAGTCAATTTAGGGCTGAAAGTAAAATAAAGAGTTAAATTTAAAGGCTGTGCTAAATAACAAACACCTTTGTATAATGCAGTACAGTTCAACAGCAGCACAAACTGCAGTCTCCAAGAATGGAACGTTATCATGGTCGTGGAGGAAGATTTATTACAAATAAAATAGTAATGGAGTTTGTTGAATTAGCTGTTAGCAGCTAATGTTTGCAGTTACCCATGGATGTACAGACAGCTGTCCCTGTATTGTACTGAAGAAAATGTAGAAAACATGAGGTTCTGAGGGGCAGCTTACATTTTTTTCTGAGGGCTTTACAGACTTTAGTTAGCAAAGGACACCAGCAATACTGATAGCCCCAGAAAGCACAAGCCTCATTGGACCTAAAAAAATGACTTGGATTTTTAGGAACCTTTCATAGGCACAAATTTAACAACACACTCAAATACAGAGAAACGGGCTTTCTGCAGGTTTTGAAGTAAGATGAAGAATGAAGAAAGTATTCATGTGTAATTATAGTGAACACAGATACCGATAGGAAGCAGTTTGATGATAAACAGAGGAGTCCTGGTTTGGTGTGAACATGAACAGATGCACAGCCAGAGGTGACGGGGTTGTTTCCGAATGTCACGTTTCATTTTAATATGAACACAGGTAGTAGAGCAGAGGCAGCAGGAGACTGGTGGAGCCCCAGGATCTCAGGTAAGCTCTCAACTGTGCCTTAGTGGTAATATCCTATTATAAAGGTATGAAGGTTTGTGTTTTGAGGCATACAATGCATTTAGTGCATATAAAATACTATATTGCTATAAACTATATAGTCTAACAGAGTTTTTCCTAAAACAAAAAATGTTCAATAAGCCTTTGTAAAGTGCTTAAACCCACATCTGGTCTTTGTCCCTCATTCTGAATTCTAGGATTCATGAATATTGAAATATGCAAATGTGTTTACCTACCTCCCCAATGCCTCTTACCCTACATAGGCCAATGAAATCACTGTAGATCACCTAGATGAGATGGCCCTAGTGATAGCCTGGAGACCTGTCCAGGGTGGACCTCGCCTCTCGCTCTAGGTCAGCTGGGATTGGTTCCAGCGTCCCTGTGACCCTGTTCAGGATAAGCTGTATAGATGATGGATGGATGGACAGTTTGGGAGTATTTGGAGCTTTGAGTCTCAGACCTTCTAGGCTGGAGAGACATCAGGTAGATTGGGTTTAAGTGATTGTAATTTAGTAATCCCTTATACTAAAAATATATTTTTAAAATACAGCTCTCTTTAGAGCCTCCTCAGAATGGAGTAAGCTGCCTCACAGAACATGGGTATTAGCCAGTATTCCTACTTTAAAAAAAATATTTTTTTGTCGTAAAGTCTTCATGATGTATTGTATTTGAACGCATGGACTGCAGGAGGACTAGCAGCCACCGTCTGGACAAGTTGATACGAGCTTGCAGTCCGTTTAACAAACATACCACAACTCGTGGGTCATTATTTTGTATAATAACTAGTGTGTAGCTGATTGTGGCGGTGCTGAGGGAGCAACAGCACACACAGGTCATGTCTGTCAGCCATACATTATCCAAAACAAGCTGATGGTGATTTAATGGTGCTGGTATGCCTGGTTACTGGAGATAAGGTGAATGTTAATACAGCCTCATAGTTCAACCCTGATCACTGTGATTAGACCCATGAACTGTTCCTGTTATTGTTCAGCTGTGGACAGAACTGGCTGCTGTCACTTTTATCATGCAGTGTGCAGCTTGGCTTCACCTCCTGCAGAAATCTTTGTGTTGCTGCAGCCAGAAATTCCTAATGTGGACAAAAATAAAAGATGCTCAGTGACTCTGAAAACATTAAAAATGGCCCAGATGTTCTGCATGCTTTCACCTTTTTGGGTCCATGGAGCGTGCTCACTGGCACCGAGACAACCGACTTCCTGTTGGCTTCAAAACTAAATCAAGTCAAGTGAAACTTTCTTTGTACAGCCCAGTATCACAGATCACAAATTCATCTCAGGGGGCTTTACTGTACAGCATATGGCGCCCTCGGTCCTTAGACCACTGGATCAGGACCCAGACTATGTAAAGCCAAGTAGGGTGGTGCAGTAGTTAGCACCGTGGCCCAGAAAAAAAGGCTCAAACCTGCATGTAGCAGCTCCAGAGTCAGAGGTTTCCCTCAGGAGGTGGTGGAGGCCAAACTCAGAGCTAACAGAGAGGGAGCACCGGACTGAGGCTCATCAGGGGGACACAGACCACTGCACATGAAGGGTCATGTTTCTCTGGAGCTGCTAGAAGAGGAAAGATGATATGTCAGCTTTGTGTTTGCAACTTGTTTTTTCTGAAAAGTGGACAAAAAGTCAGTGCAGGTTTAAAAGTTAAGACTAGTGTCTTTTCTGCAGGAGCTACTTTTAATTCCAACACGTGTTTGGGAGCTGGAGCCACTGAAAACCCAAACCAGGGTTGCATCATCAGCCTGACATCCTCTCATGGACTTGAGCCTGTTATGAAATGGATTGTCTCTGCTCATACAAAGAAAAGGATAGAGAGAGGCCTACATACCAATACTCTCTCTCAGTGCAGCCTGATGGACCAGATCCCTGCTAAACATTTGGTTTGGAGCTGAGCCCAGTCCTGCACAATGCTTTCAATTATCTCTCT